GCTGGAAATACGGACTGTGCTGACACTGAGTATCGATGCAGAGAGAGCCTCAGGCGCCAAAACATGTTAGGGGCTTGTATTTTGTCTCTCAGGATCCCCGTTACCCAACGCTGCATGGCTGCCGTGGGGTTCTTCGTTTCTCTTGACTGGAGTAGCCTCAAATTCACCGGTGGGCCTCGGCGGAATCTCCGGCACCGAGCGTGGCTCCTCACCAGGGTTTGGAATAGGGACTTTGCTGGCATTGAGTAGCGCAATTTCACTTCCATAGATTATGCGGTTGTACAGCAGGACGTTGCTCACCGTCATGTGGCTGCTTTCCGAACCCTCCTTATTCTCCGCGCCAAAATAAAAGTGCGAGATCCTGTGCTCTTTAAAAAGATCCCCTTTGTAGTACCCATAATAAACCTGCATTCCATCAACGTACACATACCAGCTATTGAAATCCATTTGCAGCATTACTTGATGTGTTGTGTTTGGTTGCCAATTATACCCACCTTCATAAGCTCCGTTGGGAAGTGTGAACCTCCACTTTTTGTCGTGGGTGTACGACAGACCAAAGAGGACCGTGCCTTGTGCATCGTTCATTCTCACACCCATCAAGGGGATGGGACTGCTGCTTTCTTTCGGCACCTCGTGGATGGACACCGTCGCCACAAGAGTAAACTTATTGTTAGCAAAGTAGTACGGCACAGTCTGCCCCATGTCGCCAACAGGCCACACCGCACCTGCTCCAGACCCTTTGAACGTCAATCCATTGGGAACCCTTCTCTCCCCATTATTCACAGTTGCATTCACGCAGAGGTACTCGTCCTTCCAAGTGTTATCAGAGAAGTTACCGGACAAAAAGCCAACAAGCACGTCGGTGGGAACAGTATCATTGCACATACCCTTCTTTCTCGGGTCGACAGTGGCGCTGGAGCCGGAACGGCATGTTCGCAAGGCGCTGTCCAAATCCTTCCATGTCTTCACCATGGATTTGATCCGCTCCAGCTGCTCCCTCAGGCTCAAGGCGACAAGACTGTATGATCCGTCGCCCTTCTTGTTTTCGTAAACTGAGATCAACTTTTCATTCCCACTCTTCATCAACAGCGAGCTCGCGGCAGCGTCATCAGTTTCACGGGATACCGGCCCAACATCATACACGCGTGTATTGTCCGTCAGCCAAAGGTGGAGCCGACCCTTTTGTTTATTGTCGTCCTTCGGATACACCGGCAGAGTGACGAGCATCACATCCTTGTCCTCAATTGTAACTTTGATGAAGGCATTCTGGACACCGTGCCCCTTTCGATCATGTGAGTTGCCCCACACGCGAGTAAGTGTCTCACCATATGTATACCAATCCACCCCACTCCCAGTCGATGCGTACACGTCACGGTAACCTTGCTCACAAGAAGCCATCATGAGGAGTCTGTTTTCTTCTCCCCACTCCACGATGGTCGGGTCCCTGCAGCCATCACCAACCGTTTGGTGCGAGAGCTTCCATTTATTCTCTGAATTATCAAAGCGCATGGACAGCAATGAAGTCGTTCCTTTCTCTGCGGCCTGCAGGGGAAACATTAGCGTACCGTCCTTCGTCTTAATCCCCGACCCTCCGCCAGAAACCAACTGGGTCGAAAATTTAGCAACATATTCATCGTTTCCAAACGTCACCGCATGGGTCTCCTTCCACGTGATTTCATTGCCACCACTGACGCTTCCCTTTACCAGCAAAAGTCCCCAGTCACGTGCATTAGCCAATTTATCCACCGACGGTGTAACGCTCTGATTTCTCAGAAGCATGTAGACACTGTCGCCAGCCACAACTGTCGTTGGCCGCATTGTGTCTTTTGCCTCGACGGCACCCGTCGCAACACCCTCTGGAAACTGCACCACCAAACTTGTGTCCTGCGTCAAT